CAGGCTGCAGGGAATCACAGCTGGGGGGAGTCACAAGTTTAGGGGGGGTCACAGCTGGGGGGAGTCACAGCCTGGAGGGGGGTCACAGCTGGGGAGGTCACAAACTGAGTCTCGGTGGGTCCAAGCAGAGGAGGGTGTCACTTAGCACCCTGAATCCTGGGTCTGGGTTGATGGCCCTACCTGGCGTGGTACCCCTTTGGTGTGATCACATGGGGTGTGGTCTCTGAGGACTCCCAGCCCCCTCAGACTCCCTCACAGATCTGAATCCCAACTGGTCTCCTTCCCACTGTGCCCCTCTCACATTTCCCCCCCTGGCTGAGGGGCACTGGAGGGTCCTTCACTCCAGCTGTGACCTCAACTCCTCCTTCCCCAATTCACGGAGTGTGGGGGGCACAGGGCATACAGCGGCTACTTTTCTGGAGATATGTCCCCACTGCCCCCCTCAACAACAGAGACACAACAACTTCTGGAAACACTTCTCTTCTTGGGACTCCTGATGGGCCTCCCCCAACATCGCCCACACTGCCCTTAGGGAGGCCTCTGCCTCCAACAGCTCTCCCAGCTGGACTCAGGGGTGTCCACTTGGTTGTGATCCTAAGCATGGACCAGGTCTCTGAGGCAGGGGCTTCATCCCCCACAAATCCTTCTCCTCAGGCCCCTGCAAGTCAAGACCATGGCAGCTCAAATGTTGTGGCCACGGCACCTCCAGGGCCCAGGATTAACTGTCACATCCACAGGGGCGATGAGGCCCTAGCTGTCCTGGAAACTGGCCCTTGGCTGAGTCCTGCTCTCTGCGGCCTCCAGTTGTGGATCACTGCATGGGTGTGGACTTGTCCTGGGGACCTTTGTGGATGTTTCACCAGATGTATGCACACAGGCCAGGTCATCTCCATCCAATGCACAGTCAGGGATGCAGGTGATGAGGGGCCCCTCATCGGAGCCTGGTAACGGTACTTGTTCCAGTCTCATCTCTGTCCTGGTCTGGAAGGAGCTGCAGACACCCAGAATTCTCAGGGCGGCTGGCAGGCTGGTAAGCACTGCCCTTGAAGTAGCCTATTTGGCTGGTTTTTTGGTTCAAGAGGGGCTGGGGTTGCCAGAGGACTCAGTTTATTCCATAAGCTCGTGTTCCACCCTGTAAGATTAACGAAGAATTTGAGATGACACAAGAACCAAGCCCAAATTGCCCCAGTATCTCCTGCTCAGAGCCCACTCCACCCTCACCATCCTGACCCCTCTGCCAAACCACTGTGCTGCCTGAGGGCTCTCCAGCAATGTGGAAAAAGGCAGGGGACTCAGAGTCCTGGACTCCAGTGTCCACCCCGATCTGCTAGGACTTGGGCTGTTTTCCTCTGAGGCCTGGACCTCTCCTTTATTCATTCAACAAAGCCTGTGTGCTTCCTGCTTGTCCTGGGATGTAGAAGGCACGAGCCTTGTGCTCAGGGTTGGCCTCAGGGCCTCCCTGAGGGACTCTCCCCCTGGGCTGGCTCAGGCCAGAGCCCAGATCTAAGGTTTGGGTCCAGAGCAGGAACCGTGGAGTCCTGGAAACTCACAGCTGCCTGGGCGCTGTACTCAGGAGGGGGCTGGGTGTGGATTTAAAAAGCACACGTGGGCAGTTTGCACTCACCTGCCTGTCCACCTCCTGCCCATCCCCCCACCACATCTGGATCCCACCCATGAGAAAGCCCCAGATTGAGGCTCCCAAGAGAGAGCCTTGAGAAAACACAGGAAACCCACTTTCAGGATGAAACACCGCATGGGACAGGCAGATGACCAGGTCCCATTGTCCACTTTCATCCCGCCTGCCCCTTCCCCTACACCATGACCCCTGGGAGCCAGACAGGGAACCTTAGCATCAGACAGCGAGGCTCGTTCTGTCTGAGGTGCCGCTTTGCCCACATACAGTCAGGGTACCCACCCAGGCACTCGGCAACCGGGAATCCTCACGGCCACAGAATGAATGCTAGCGAGAAAAACAGAAACAGGAACAAAAACTATAAAACAAGACCAAACGAAAATGAGAAAAGAAGAAAAGAAAAGAAGAAAGATGTGAGACATGGAGTACGGGATTCAACGGCAACATTTCACAAGAACGGCAGCACCCGAGTCGTTCTCAGAAACGTTTTCTGCCATAAATACCTGGGGGAGACGTACCTCGGGGTTCCCCATGGTGGTCATACCTGTGAGTAAACCATGAATACCTGAGTAAGTCTTGGTTCTGGGGGTCCCTGAGGTGGTGGCCCCATTGTACATGTGAGTGAACCATAAACCCCTTGGGGCACTGTGCCTCGGGGGTCTCCACAGCATCCCTGCAGGGACTGTGGACACTGTGCTCGATGGGTCAGGAGAGATTCTGGTTTGTGGGGGTTGATGGGCTATGAAGCCTCACCCCTGATCTGAGTAGGCACTGGGAATCCTGAGTTGAGGTGGCCCATGGCTTTTGTGAGTCTTCTTTGTTGTCACTTGGCGATTCGTGTCCAACAGAACCAAGATTTGCCCCGTCCTGCCACATCCTCACAGTCAGGGGTGGGCTTCAGCTACTGTGGCTCTGTGTGTCTAGTTAAGCCCCAAGAAGATCCCATTAAAGCTGAAGAAGTCAGAACTCAGAGGGGCGAGCCCTAGGCCTAGGTCCACAGCAGGACTGGATGTGGACCACATCCCACCTCAAAGCCACACATCTGTGTGCTCTGTCCCACGTGGATGTTCAGCACCCCTTCTGGGGACAGCTCCCCTGAAGGCTGCAGTGACCTGTTAAAATGCACCTCCTCCCCCTCCCCGCATGGTCCCCCTGCCCTGGAGTCTCCAGGCTCCTGTTCAGATGATACCCTGGCCTTCCTACTCGTAAGCTGGTAGGGGTGCAAGTCAGGCTGCAGGGAATCACAGCTGGGGGGAGTCACAAGTTTCAGGGGGGTCACAGTTGGGGGGAGTCACAGCCTGGAGGGGGGTCACAGCT